CCCCCGGCAACGTCTTTAATTAAAGAGCTGGTTACAAATGGCTCGCTGTTCCCCGGTGAGAGGAAGGTGCTGGCCAGTGTTGAAGGGGTTCATTTGTCCCCAGATCGGCCACCAACCCCTTGCAGGCGACAACGGGTGCAGGAACCCTTCATCAAATGCTGACCCCTAGGTTTGTCCCCGCTGTGTGGATGGGACAAACAACCATGTCCATTTAATCACGTAAGGTTTTGGGCTGATATGTCTTTTTTGGCTGCTGGGAGTGGAGTCGAGTTCAGCTGGACGCCGTTATAAACATTTCCAAAGCTCCGTATTGTGTTACAGCCACGCTCTTCTCTGCAGAGGGGGAAGCTTTTCAGGAAGCCAAGTCTCCTGATGACCCCCCCCCCCATCAAATTTCATCCCCTTTGAGGCTTTTCAGAGGCTCCCCCAGCAGGGAAATCCTCCCTCTGCTCATCCCAGACACCCGGCTGCCCCTTTCCAGCTGGGGCACGGCCCAGGAGCTCAAGGTTTGCGTTTTATGGTGGTGTTTCTGGTACGTCCAGCTGATTAACTCTGGTAAACCATTTCCCAACAACTGCTACGGTGATAAAGCCCGACCGCAGGCCGGGGTGGCAGAGCTGTACACAGCCTCCCGCTGCGGCCAGGGTGGTGGCCCTGGGACTCTGCCCTGGGACCTCAGCAGAGCCTGGACTTTGCTCGTGGTGTGACAGGTCTCTCTCTGTCAAGCCCCAGGGCTGCACCAGGGTTGCAGCGCTGCTGAATCACACCGTGCAGGTGGTGAGGGATTCCCAGCTCCTGGGGGTTTGTGCCCCATGGGACAGGTCCCCAGAGTGGGGAGGAGGTGATGGGGTTGTTCAGCCTGGAGAAGAGGAGGCTCTGGGGAGACCTAATAGCAGCCTGCCAGTACCTGAAGGGAGCCTACAGGAAGGCTGGGGAGAGCCTGTTTAGAAAGGCCTGCAGTGACAGGACGAGGGGCAATGGCTTCAAGCTGGAGGGGAACAGATTTAGACTGGAGATGAGGAGAGGGTTCTTCACTGTGAGGGTGGTGGAGCACTGGAACAGGTTGCCCAGGGAGGTGGTTGAGGCCCCATCCCTGGAGATATTCAAGGAGAGGCTCGATGAGGCCCTGGGCAACCTGGTCTAGTTGGGGGTGTCCCTGCTGACTGCGGGGGGGTGGGACTAGATGGCCTTTGGAGGTCCCTTCCGGCCTGGGCAATTCTATGATTCTATGATGGGGATGTTGCAGGAGGGGGGAACCTGAGTAGGGTCCTTGGGTGCCTTTGCTCAGGAGGAGCTGAGGGAGTGAGAGCAGCCTCGTGTGCCCAAGGGGAAGGGCTGGGGCGGGGAACAACCCTGCAGGAGGGGAGCAGCACATCCCACCAGCCACTCCAGGCCCCAGGGTGCTCCAGCTCCCATGGGTGCTCCAGACCCCAGGGTGCTCCAGACCCCTCCAGCTGTGAGGGTGCGCTGGCTCGGGGGGAGGGGGGTGCTCCGGGTCCCTTTGGGGATCCAGACCCGAGGGTGGCCCCGATCCCACCCCATCCGTACCCGGCCACTCCGGATCCCACTCCGGATCCCACTCCCGCCCCAGGTCCGGGGATGCTCCAGGTCCTCCCGGCGCCCGGTCCCTCCCCGGGGCCCCGCGCACGGCGGGCTCCTGGTGACACCTAGTGGCACCGGGTGACACGGACAGACACACGGACACGGGCGGACACACAGACACGGGCGGACACACTGACACCGCCGGGGGCGGGGGGTACTGCTGGGTTCCTCGGGGGACCCTGCCCGCAGCCGGGAGCGGGGGGACCCCCATCTATCTCCCCCCATCCCCCTCATCTCCCCCCATCTCCTCTCATCCCCTCCATCTCATCTCCCCCCATCTCCCTCGTGTCCCCCC